ATATTACCTGTGCTACATCCATGTGTTACTATAGCCCGTCAGTAGGACACCAGTATGCCTGCATGTATGGAGGATTCAGTTAACAGCCACAGTTCCATTTTACCTGTGCTACATCTATGTGTTACTATAGCCCGTCAGTAGGACACCAGTGTGCCTGCTTGTATAGAGGATTCAGTTAACAGCCACAGTTCCATTTTACCTGTGCTACATCCATGTGTTACTATAGCCCGTCAGTAGGACACCAGTATGCCTGCTTGTATGGAGGATTCAGTTAACAACAGCCACAGTTCCATATTACCTGTGCTACATCCATGTGTTACTATAGCCCGTCAGTAGGACACCAGTATGCCTGCATGTATGGAGGATTCAGTTAACAACAGCCACAGTTCCATATTACCTGTGCTACATCCATGTGTTACTATAGCCCGTCAGTAGGACACCAGTATGCCTGCATGTATAGAGGATTCAGTTAACAACAGCCACAGTTCCATATTACCTGTGCTACATCCATGTGTTACTATAGCCCGTCAGTAGGACACCAGTATGCCTGCTTGTATGGAGGATTCAGCAGGACATTAACAACAGCCACAGTTCCATATAACCTATGCTACATCCATGTGTTACTATAGCCCGTCAGTAGGACACCAGTATGCCTGCTTGTATGGAGGATTCAGTTAACAGCCACAGTTCCATATTACCTGTGCTACATCCATGTGTTACTATAGCCCGTCAGTAGGACACCAGTATGCCTGCATGTATGGAGGATTCAGCATGACATTGGTCTCAGAATATGCATGATCGCTACTGAACCATCTGGCAGCTTCATCAACTCCCCGACCCTTCAATACATACTGTGGTGACTGTGACTGCCTGTCGTTTCAGATTCAGTCTCTATCACAGCTACTTATTCCCATGAATGCCTAAATGACTACTACAGAAATCAGCATAGAAATTGGCACTAGTCCTGTAGTCCTTGCCAAACTGCCTATAGTTAAGGGATCATAGTAAGTGAGTGAGATTAGTTTTACACCACTTTCAGCAATGGCGGGGGACACCAAAAATGGGCTTCTCACATTATACCCATGTGGGGAATTAAACCCGGGTCTTCGGCATGATGAGCGAAGTCTTTAAGCACAAGGCTACCCGACTGCCCCTAAGACATCATAAGGACAAGTAGAAATTTGTCACTTTTAAGGATTTTGCTATATGTTATCATAATAAAGGACTATTGGACTAAAAATGTTTGTTTCTACCCCTGGAAATTCACAAAATTTACAGGGATCTACAGATCTACATTCATACGAACCATTAGCTTCTACAGTCCCTTTGGACATTAACCATGTTAACTTTCACCGCTGTCAGTAACATTAACTCTGGGGGCTGTTGGGCAGTTTGTGTCATGTTTCACCACTGTCAGTAACATTAACTCGGGGGGGGGGGGGGGGGGGGCTGTTGGGCAGTTTGTGTCATGCTTCACTGCAGTCAGAGTTATCACTTCATCTGTGGTTGTCTGCCTGATACTGGGCATGACTTGCTGTCTCTGTGTTACCGATACACATCTCAAGCTCTGGCATGTTTAGCTATTACAGCAGGAAGACATCAATACCAACAGGGAGCTAGACAAACATCTAGTCTCTGAAATGAACATATCTTGCAGAAAAAAATTGTTGTCAAATTATCTTCATAAAAATATAACAATAAAAGAGGAGCCCAGAGACTCTCTTCATCTTCAGATACTGTAGTAATCTAGACTTGCCAACATTATAGACTTGCATGGGCTGTATTAGATATATTTGTTTCAGGGTCTAACAGGGAGCATAACACAGGTAGTCTCAAAAGTATCAAATCTGTCATACCATGTAATATGAAAGAATCAGGAGGTCTTTAACTTATTTTGAGTAGTATACATGAATTTGTTTCAAGGGACATAAACTAAATGCCCATTGATGGCAAATTCAAAAAAAAAAGTTTGCATTTTTCAAGTTCATGTCTTCGTCCATTCCGAGGTATTTTTACATTATATTCAAAGCAATCATATAAAAGTATCCTTTAAAGCCTTTTTCTCTCTATTAGTCATGATATCGATGAAATAAAAGCCATATTTGCAAAGAAACAATTAAGTATAAAACTGCCACATTAGTCACAAGTCCAAAGCCTAAGTCATGTGAACTATGGTTCGGTCTTGTTAGCTCAGCAGAAAATGATGCCAGCAGCCATGTTTGGATCAGTAGTCCAAAAGTGTTTGGTACAGACTGAAGTATTATTTATGATAACTTGACTTCATGCAATGTGACCATATACTCAAGACCACAATGGCGACTTCCATTCACTGGTGCATATGGTTTCTTAATCTACAGGAATGAATGAATGTTTATTCAAGAGTAATGGCAACAGACTTAAAACACATGAGGTTGATTGTACAAACATCTGCTTATGTAGAGATAGCACATTTCTCATGATAAGTTTGCAGCACCACGTCAAGTCAGTCCATTCAAGATGTCGAAAACAAAAAATGTGGTCTATCCAACAAATCTTCAGCATGTTCAAATATACTGTTCTGTAACGTAAAACACTTTCCAAACAGCTCATCAAACTACAATTGTCCAAACCAATAAACAAAATAATTGAGCTAAAGCTAATTCATACCATTCCTCTACATGCAAGCACGGTTGAAGTCAATGGATGTTGATATCCAAAACTGCACGTTCTGTGGCTGTCGAATCATCTCATTGTTGGATGGCTGTAGACCTCCAGGACCCTTCTGGGCCCCGTTCTTCAAAGCAATCTTAGCAATACCATGATCGTAAGCCTATGTTAAAATATGGGACTTTCGATCACCTTAGCGCTAGGATCACTATGAGGTCCTGAACTGAGTCCATGAACATGATGAATCAGGATTATCCAATTTAACTTGATCAAGATCAGTCTAGATGATATGGCCACAAAACATGCATGTGTCCTGGTCCATGACCAACCCTAACATGGAAACAATGAACCTAAACCCTTTTTCGCAATTTTGTGAGTGAATTAAAACTTAAAATCGCTTCAGCATTATGTAGGCCACATAGCGATTCCATTTCTTGAGTGATGGGAGGTTGGGGACCAAGCTAGCTATATATGGAAACAAAAAACTTTAAATAACTATTATTATTCTTAAAACAGAAACATGTATTGTGTAAAAAAGGATTTCACAGACGAAACATATGTTGAGAATTCTGCATATCCAACACAATCTGACAAAAATTGCCAAAAACGTTACCACAAAGATGGCAACCGAAATGAGTAACAATAACATCAGTCTTGTTTGTAGTCTTCAAACTTTGAAAAATTACAATTAATTGGGCATTCCACTGCCAAGGGATACACAAATTATGCACCAACTGTGAGAATCAACACTGTAAGAACATGCCTTCAGAACACAACTGATATGACTCATTCGTGTAGAATACATGTTAAGCACAAAGCAGGAACATATGGGACATTCTGAGAAACTGATTAGCCACTTCAATTGCAAGGCAAAGATCATTACAATCTGAGAGAAGTTTCATCTGAACTTTAATTTCAAAGACATTCTGGTGCCAGTACTTCTGATGGTAGATAGTATGTCATCACCATGGTAACTCTGGATGAAGCTCCAAAGCAATCGATGTGGGAATACATCTCAACTACTGCTGATGTGTACAGGTCATGTCATGAATTTGTAAAGCAACCACTTCCACCAGTCACTGGGAATATGTAATGAATTACTGAATGATTCTGTGATGTAGGGTTGTGTTTGAAGTTTGTGCCAACCATTTTGGTGTCTACAAGCTCAAGAGTCCAGAATCACTTTCAGTAAATTATTCTTTTAGCATAAGTGCCATCATAGTGAGTGAGTGAGTTAGTGACTATTGCTTTCCGCCGCTTTTAGCAATATTCCAGCAATATCATGGCAGGGGACACCAGAAATGGGCTTCACACATTGTACCCATGTCGGGTATCGAACCCGGGGCTTCAGTGTGACGAGCGCACGCTTGAACCACCAGGCTACCCGACCGCCCAAATGTTATCATAAGTGAGTGAGTAATGTTGTGTGATGCTGGTCTATTCTGCAGTAGTACAGATATATCATGTTGGCATGTTAATAACGGAACATGGGCCAGGTAAACAGATGATTGACAGCATGAGCAATGCTCCATGTCATCAGGGACGTTAGCATAGAATCAGCCCCATCCTCATCTTGTTAGTTCTTGGGACCTATTCTGTGCAATGTAGGGGTAACTATTGGTGCTATTTTCACTATTGCGATTGCACTGCAATAGTAGACAACACTATTGCAATATAGTTTCCCTCAAAGAGCATACCTCAATAGACATTCACAAAGCGTATTCATCCAGCATGCACATAAAGAATGTAGAAAACACCTTCAAAATTCAATGTCAACTTCAAATCTCCATGGCAACATAAAACTGCTACTACAAAATCCCAACCTCTTTCTCGGATTTACAGGAACTATCGCACTATTCTTACAGCACAAAGTAATTTGCTTGCAGTGCAGTTAATGATACCCCAAAGGCTTCTCAAATTTGAAAAAAGGCCTACATTATCCTATCTTCAAATGTTAAAGAGACCCTGAACGTGAGTACAGTGACCCTGATGTGCTCTTAACACTTTCCAAGCATGATGAAGTGAAACTTGTTCATCGAATGTTTCAAACTGTAAAGAAACTTACTTTCAAAGTTCTAATTGCTTTTGTAAAGGAAGTTTGGAGTAAATCAATCTCCACTCTTTTTTCTGTTGCTATAAAATTAAGATGTCAGTCTGGATAAATTTGGTAACTGCATGTAAGTGATTCATAATCTCCCTTTGAAAATACAAAAGGTTGGGGCTAGAATTGGTTCCAGAATGTTCTGCTTTTAGGGATGATTGAAATATGATCATTCATCTACGAAACAACTTCACCACACTATTCAGTATTACCTAACATGCATGTCATAAGATGTTTATAGCATGACACTCACCTGCAACAATGGGTTTAGCTGAAACATTGTATACATGCTCCTGGGTTACATTAGGCTTGAGGATCTTGTCAAACACGAACACTTTGTTCTGAAACAAAACAACGCAGGAATTAATTTACATAGCACATAACCATGGCAACAAGAATAAGTTCTCGGAATGATTTTGTATTATTCCGTTAAACATATTCTTACTCACAGATTACATATACAGGTTTGGACAAATACGCTGGTCTACAAGACATAATGGCAGGTTTTGACAAAAATGCTGGTCTACCAGACACGATGCAAGGGTTTTACAAAAATGCTGGTCTACTAGACACAATGCTAGACAAATGACAGTAATCTGAACATCAAATTGAGACCTGACGGCCAGTCAGTCAGGTGAATGTCAGTCATATTTTTTGTAGTTTACCTTTGAAAGGTGAGAAAAGGTGACACAAAGGTGTCCAAACTAAGCAAGACTGTTTAAATCTGTTCTCTTGAAAATCTGTTGTGCTACGAGATAACCTGACATTTGTCAAACCTTATATATATATTGGCAGTGTTGAAAATAAGGGGGGTCCCGGGGACCTGGAGGTTTGCCTCTATTTGAACCACCGTCTGCCAAGTCTTTTGTAACTTTTAACAGGGTTATGATGAGAACCCCTGACCAATTTCCTTGCTTAATTTCAATCACAGGTTTATATCCCAAAAGTGGCTTGAACAATGTTTAATATGGGTTTTGCTTCAATAAAACAATGTATTTTTAAATCCAGGACCATTTTTGAGAAAGTGGCCAAGTCGTCAAAAGCACCACAATTCACTGTGCAAAATGCTGCATCCCTTGAGCACGCCAGAAACCTATGAGTGTGGGTTTGAATCCTGGTTCGCAACAATTCTTTTTTAAGTTTGTCAGCTCCATAACCATGGTAACAATGCTCATGGTTTTTACCAAAGTGGTAAATGTTGGAGACATGCATCACTTCGGTCCTTCCTATCATATACAGCTGACAAGCTGTGACAGAACTGGAATTAAAAGCTGTGTTAAACCCAACTCACTCACTCCAAGACAGTATACAATGAAAACTCAGGGATTTATCTAGCTCTGCTCAGGAGGCCATTTAGCCCTAAGTCTGCAGCAAATGCTTCCAGAAATTCCCAATTTGAATTACAAATTTCCAAATTCCTCACAATTTATGAAAATAATACAGAGCTCCAGATAACTTTCTGAGCAATTGAGTTCTTACTCTAGGGTTTCTATTTTATTTGGGTTATTACATTTTTCATTGGGTAACCAATATTTGGCACTCATCTATTCATGACTCTATTGGGTTTTTCCAAAAATTAGTGAACATTTTAAGATTTTAAAAAAAAATGAAATAATCATGATAATGTTTTAGATGTATATAACTGTTCTAAATATATAGGCCTGACTCGGAAAGTAAATTGGCTCGTAATTGTGTTTCCGAAATTAGCTCCTGAGTACCCATGCTGAAAAAGCTTCATCAGGTATTTACGCATGCTGTTTTTATACATTTGAGTTTATCAATAAATTGCATGCATTTCTGTATGCAAGTTAATTGAAAGTAATTGGGTTTTGAATATTTTCGGGGGTATTTTACGCAAATAAGCTGCTTATCTGTAGCTCTGATCATAATTGAACAATGATATTGAATAATATCACAATTTTGCAATCCTACAAACTAAAAGGCATGTCTATCTTGACAGTTTTGATAGAGGAAAGTGTATTTATTGCTTGCAAACTTCCCCCTTCCCAAACAACCTAAAGCTTTAAATTCATCATTTATTGTTGATGTAGCTGCCCTTCCTCTTTCATCCATGTGACAAAATACACTTAACCTGGCAATGTGCCATTCATGGTGTAACCCCCATAACAGGATCAACAACATGCAGGGCTGTATAAGCCAACAGCTAACATCTTGGATGGCAAGTTTTTACCCAATCATCAATCATGTCCTACATGCAGTCGAGTCGGATATTATTCATGTATATCATACTGTAATATACAATAAATATACAATAAACATACATGAGTAAGATGCCAAAGTTGATAAGTTTGTTCTGAGTCATGTTAATTATATACATATCCAGAAGTCTTGAGATTCGAGAGTAAAGTCATATTTACTAGGTTCATGTATATATCTGATCATCTCACACGATCAATGTTAGAAATGAATGCTAGCTAGTAGTAAGTCTGTGGCTAACAAAAATGGAACATGGCTGACTAAAGCACATGCAGGTGAGGTGAAATGAGGCTTAACACGACTACCCCACTCAGACACAGTATACTGACTCCGACCCAACCAGTCCTTGTTTTATCTTCTTAATGCCAAGCACCAGGCAGGGAAACAACAAGTTCCATCTTTTAACGCCTTTTGGTATGACACAGCCGGGACCGAACCCACAACCTTCCACTCTCCGGGCGCATGCTCTACAACTAGACCACGGAGTCAATCCAAAAGCAAATACAGAGAATGATTCTTAGTCTGGACTCTGTAAGTCCAGCCCCTGTTTTCAAGGTGATTCCTCCTGGGAATGTCTACATATGATCAAAGGAATATCACAATGTAACTATAATGTGTTATTTCACAAATGTGTTAATCTGGGCGACACAACTGGGAATGCCTTCCAATGTTAACCAGATTAATATCAGTCCTTGAGGTTTGCTTACCGATGTGGAGAATGAAACCCAGGTCTGTCGTAAGAAGCAAACACACTAACCACGAGGCTTCTCCACCACCCTGTAATCTTAACCCTGAAAACTCCAACAGGAAAATACCCATACATCAGCGCGTGATTTGGTTTAATCATGCAAACTTCACAGCATGTCAGCTGAATGCTGGAGAGAAGCCCCAAGTGATGAGGCCCAAGTGGATTTACCACGTTGGCAAAATCTTCCAGCACAATTATGGTCCTGACAAACCAAGAATCATAATCAGGGTGATTCTGTGATTCAAACATATCCAAGTGATGAGGCCCAAGTGGATTTACCACGTTGGCAAAATCTTCCAGCACAATTATGGTCCTGACAAACCAAGAATCATAATCAGGGTGATTCTGTGATTCAAACATATCCCCAAGTGAGCATGGTGAGACAACATGGATATAATGCTTCACCAGATCACATCAGAAATCCCCTGAACCGCAGATGTATGTATTGCACAGTCCGCCCACAGTGGAGGTTACATGTCTCATCTATCTCTGGCTTCCAACTCAAGCCAATCACAACAAGCTGGCCCAGATAAAATGCGGCCAGGTGAGGAAACTTTCTAGGTTGCTGATGGGCAAAAAATGGGGGCTGACAAGGCGATGCTGTGCACACACGGCTGTAAATGTGATGTATAATAAGTATGTGTACGTAACTGGTATGCATTTGTTCCATCCATAAATATACTTTAATATTAATCAGATTACAGGCGTTATCCCACACTTATCATCATTCGCCTAGTCTTATCAATCTTATCGACTAATATATGTACCACACTTCACTGTCAATTAACATAAAAACTTAACACATATATTTATCATAGGACAGACTTAACAAATCTTATAACTGTTTAAGCAAATTATTTGACAATTTATCAATTCAACAAATTATTCCAAGTTATATATACAGACAGAAAGTAACATGTTTAGTCCACTAGTCCTTATAATGATAACATACAGCAAAACCCTGAATGGGACATTTCTACTAGTCCTTAATATGATACCCTAACTATTGGGCAGTTTGGCAAGGACTACAGGACTATCTATCGCTGTACATGGACAACAGCCTTTCATTGTCATGATCATATGAAAGATTATTCACAAAATAAAACTGTCCATCTCATTCAACTATTAAAAGACTAGGCAAAATTTACATATGACTTGCATGTAAACTCCATTTTGTTTTTTGTTCATTTAACTGTAAGCATTTTGCAACAATTAGCATGATTAGTCTGAAGCTGATTCCAGTAAAGAGTTGGTTGGTATTTTATGTTAAGTCGATATCATAACAGTAAATTTATCTGAATCACTAGATAAAGAAACTGTTCTTATCTGTCCACATTAAACTCCTATCACAAAGCTGCTTATATAAAGCTGCAGGCATCCACTTATAATTTCTTGCTTGACATGCTCCGTTGTTATCCCCTTAAGACATATCATTGATGACTTAACAGATTACAGCCTTCATGTGACATCATCTATATCAATCTGCCCATGTCAACACTGAGTTGAAATCTAGCAATCATCCCTGAAAAACCTGCAGCTGAGACATATTTGTGTTATTCATTAGAACTAGGAACCATCGAGTACAAAAAGAGTATCACCACTTGTTGATAACACACTAAGCATGCAATACCACCATACTTCAGAATTCAAGAACTGACCACCTCCCAATCACAACTAAGACTCATTTGTTCAACTGACGCATATCATATAGACCCTCTCTCATAATGTCCAGTGTCATATAGTGTCCTACAGCACTTTCGAGTAGTTAATTCTAGCTGAATTTTAGCCCCCATATATATTATCATCATTATTTATTACCATATGGCTGGATTCCAGAGCTATATCATGTATATATGACATATATGTGTTTAGTTCATTATTATCATCATCATTACCATCATTATGACTTTCTGTGTTTGACTACAAAAAACAATGCATGCCCAGTTACAAATGGATTTGCCCTTACTTGTAATTGTGAGTGAGTATGGTTTTATGCCGCTTTTAGCAATATTCCAGCAATATCACGGCGGAGGACACCAGAAATGGGCTTCACACATTGGACACATGTCCGGAATCGAACCTGGGTCTTCGGAGTGACGAGCGAACGTTTTAACCACTAGGCTACCCGACCGCCCCACTTACTTGTAAATATCCTAAAGGTAGTCACAATGTGAACAGAGCATTATAGGTCACAAGCTCTCTACGTATCCATTACTAAAGTATACACATTAGGGCTGTAATGATAGACTTAGTCATGATACAACACATTTCTTGAGGTTGTGATACCATACTTGATATTGTACATGAAAACTCGACAAGTCTATATTCCACCAACAAAGGGATTGAAAAGAAATCCAAACAAAACTTATTTAGTAG